ACCATTAAATTTCACACATTTCCTATTCATTTGCTATGTTAAAATATGGCTTATGACCCTAAGTAGAACTATCACAGGATTCTGCCTTGAAAGTCAACTTTTTACTATTTGATAATATATGACTTTTAAAAGACCAGTAAGTCATGGGCCATGAACCTAGCCACATAAATGATTTCAAATGGCTCAAAAGTGGGTATACTTTTACAAATGGAACAAATTGAGCCCTAAAAACATTAAAGGATAAAATAAAATTATCAAAGATAGCAATTGTTCCCATTAAGCAAGACCTTTAGCTAGACTTATCAACCAAAATATCAAAAAGAAGTGGCCTCAGAGTTGTAAAATGCAAGTAAAAACAAAATAAAACAAAAAACACAACTCTATCCTCACTTCCAAGCAAGAGAAGCAAGCACCAAAGATTTGAAAGAGGTACTGAGTTTCACAGAACTTACAGCTTCCTTCAGCATTTCTCTTATTCTCTAGGATATAATGCTTCAAGTGAAGAACTCTCAATACCAACAGCTAAAGGGAAGTCACAGTTAATAATATAGCTAATAATAATAACTATAATATTTAATATATTTCTAATAATTATAATTACTATATATTTAATATATTAATAAGTATATACTAAGTAATTAGCTAATAATATAGTTAATACAGCTAAGCTAATAGATACTAGAGAAGGTTTTAAAAGGTAAGTAATACCTCTTTCTTCTCAAAAGGTCAAGGGCCAGAGAAACATCATGAGGGATGAGTGGGGGGAGTCCCAGGTAGATATAGAAGAGTGTACCTGAAGCTGCCAGAGGAAACATGGTGGCAATTACTGGAATCCAAGGTCAGAGTTGGCAACTAACTAAACATAAAATCATAAATGAAAGAGAAGGATAGGCATAGAGGAAGAAAAAGTAAGGTTTCTGGTTGAAAGTCTTAGAAGCAAGATACAATCATGTATATGGAATGGGATAAGTACAAAACTTGTGCTATCACCTATTGTGTACTGAGGCACACAGTGCAGATGACAGAGCAAGATGTGGTTCTTCACAAGTGAGATGTCATTATGCTGGGCTCTCATAGATGGGGAAATAGAATGTCAATCAACACTTGTTAAGTTATTAACCTCTTAAGGAAGTTATGTCAGCCTTAGACAGTTCCAAAATGTCCACAATCATGTTACACAGATTGGTCAATCATTGGCTAAAGGTTGAAATATGATTTGATATTACCCTTAAAAAGCTATAAAACAGAACATGTCTGCATTCGGCCTGAGGTCCACATTATAGCCTATGTTTAACATTCAATAACCATCGGTTTCATACCATATGTGACCAGATCCTGGATAAATCAAAGGTAGGAAATAGCTCTCTTTTTATCTCTGAAGAGGAAAGAATAAGGCCAACTAGACACTTTTATACATGAGACATGAAGCCATGTACTCCGACTGTCATTCAGGCATCTCTGAAGGCAGCCTGAATAATTTATCTCAAAATGTAAAAATAAATAAATAAATAATAATGATAACATTACTCGGTTGTCAGAAAGGCAGTAAGTGTTATATAAACATAACCAAAAAGCATGTGAATCTATCAACTGCTATTGCCAAGGGGGCGGGGGGACAGAAATTCAGGAAATAGTTGGCACTCCATTTATTATAACCACAGACTATAATATAAAAACCTGTCTTTAAAGTAAATCCATGTATTTAAAACTTTCAAGATCCATGGAAATTCACACAGGATGCTCATTCTTGGATCTCTCCCCAGGACACTCTAAGACATTCCCTCCAAGAACATAAAAAAGCATTCAACTTTTACTGAGCACTGCCTGACCTGAGCTTGTATCTTCTGCAAATTAAGTCTCATGTCCAGGTGAGAAAACTATAGGGATTATTAGTAACTGCTGACAGCATTTCAAGATATGGGGGGGGAAGTTTCTTACTATTTTTTTTTAAGTGTTGATTTATTGCTATAGCTTTGGATATCTAGTTATTTTAACATCATCTGTATCCAGTCAACTCTAAAACGGTACTCACAAGGTCAGTTCCCTTTAGACTATTTAGTGTCATAATCTTCCATGGCCCTACATGTATTAAACCTAATGGAAAATGCATTCCACAGGGAAATCAAGTGAGAAACTAAGGATTAAAAACTCATTGGGAAAGGGAGATCCATCAAACTGCACAACAGGAAGTAACAGAATCACATTTTTTTAAAAGCACATTTTCTTACCATTATGAATATTAATTTAACATCATTAGTTTATATTGATAATTTGTATTGCTATTAACTAATATTACTAAAAATAATTTCTATTAATACTTTAGAATAACAATAATACCAAAACATACTTCACATATGGCCCTCTTTCAATATTTGTCAAACAAACACAATACTTAGATAAGTGTACTGCAGGCAGCAAATTCTACTATAGAGGTTAAGTGACCACCAAAATGGATGCAGAAGACAGCCTCTAAATTCTTACTCTTACCTATTTACTTAGCTCCTGCTCATTAGTAGTCCACGACTTTTCTTTACTATCAACTCCCACATGAATTTAAGCCAATGATTGCTTATATATAATATAGCTTCTTTTTATAAGGTGAGAAAAGACAAACACACATGAATATGAATACATTTCATGTAGTCTTGTCAACCTAAAGAAATAGAAAACATTCCTCCAATAATAAATTGCAACACTAATATTTGAATAGAATCTACTCCAACTATCTACTTACAATCAGAAAACTTGTTTTTTTCAAAATATTCACTCTTCTTTGGACTGCTTTGCCTTGTAGCTAAAGGTCAGTGAAATGATATAAAATGGGCACTTCATAAAGAAAAGTGAGGGAAAAAATCTGATATCCTACTTCTAGGATACTTGTTTTGTCCTTTTCAAAACACTTAACTCCACTTCCAAGTTCTTATTAATAATACTGTCTTTGTTTCTTCATGAATTTGAGTAATTATATCTAAACATTTACCCCACCATTCGTCTTAACAAACACAATTACACCAGGTATTTTTCCTCATTACTTAAAACTACCCAAAAAGTAACCAAAAGAATGTAACGACTTCGATTTATAGCGCTGCTTCTTAATAAACATTCACTGAATAAATGAACCTGAATGGTCACTCTAGTGCTTCCCAACTTTTTTCATTTCACGGCACACATGAAAAATAATGTTTATAAGGATACTAGGGTGAATAAATGAAACACCAGGTGGCCAGAAGCTACCAGCAAAGGACTTCTGGCACCCTGAGCTTAGACAACCTGGCTCCCTGACAGCTGAGAGCTGGCGGGGGACAGGGATAATATCTTAACATACCTGAAACTCAAAACACTAATTGAGAAGTTCTCCACATTTTTTTCTATTTCACATACTCCCACTTTTATTACCAGGAAACTATTTTTCCTTTAGGGACTGATCCCTCCCTCATTCCACATGATCCTGGTGGCATAGATAATTTTAAGCCCCTGACACTTTACCCACCTCCATTCTACCCAGGATCACCAATTAAAGTGCCCCATTATCCTGGCCAATGGTTGATCCCATTTGGGCACCTGACCCAAGCAAAGCCAATCCAAATATCTCTACCACTCTCTTCCTTTTGGATTGTGAATATAAGGTTATAAGGCTTTGGGCTTCCAGTCAATTCAGAGAAGAAAGAAACTGCAATGAATACACTGTCTAAGCCATGTTTATTCTAAATTCTAGAGCTAATAAAAACAGTTTAAAACAGATGGGTTTCTGTGACTCATAACAGAAAGTATCACCCTAGAATTTCAAAGACTCGATGCATTTCCTGAGTATCTATATATACACATATTGATCTCATCTATGTTTAATATCGGCAGCATACACAGATCAGGTAACCCACTAGATGACTTTTTTAGATAATCTCCAGACATTATCTGTGTGTTAACGATTCTAAAGAGATTATCCTACAAAGTGTCAACGCTGAAAGAAAACATTTGGTAGAAGCAAGATCATTACAGAAGGTGAAGGCAGAAATAAAGTAGGAGGCAAAGGAACTTTGTGTACATTACAGAATCAGACCAGAAGAGGTCTAGTCAGAAGGAAAACTAATTGTGAGATAGCAGCAGTTGTTTCCCTGACAAAAAGGAATAAACATGACAAATTGGGGACAAAAAGGAATTCCAAACACTTTAACTTCATAGCTTAAACATTTATCCACCTTCACCACCAATTTTTTCCTATGAGAACACATAATTTTCCATAAAGAGATGGACTTTTTTTCCCTCACCAAGCTTGAAAAGAAACACAAGCACAGATACTAATAAACAAGAGATAATAAAAATACCATATCTACTTGGTAAGAAAACCCTTCACTTCACAGGAAATGTGTTCTAGAGATTCTACCCAATAGAAAAAAATTAGAGTACTATGCTAAATATATGGTTAGTTTAAAAGTGGTGGGGGGAAGCTTATTAATGTCTGACTGTTTTCTTATTACATTCTAAGCCCTGGGAAGATAGCAAAATGATTGTTTATCCTTACATCCCAACATAGTGATCAGTACTATATATAGCAAGGACACATTTTTTTTGTTTATTAAATGAAGATAAGATCAAATTTCAACAAGTCAAAAAGATTAATGCCTGTCGTACAGGTAACTTTAAACTGAATTATTTTTTGCCCACATTAAAAGATCAATTTTAGAACTAAAGGATATTCATTTTGGAATAGGCTCCAAGAGTTAACAAAAGCATTACAAAGGAGCAAATTCAGCAATAAACAAAAATACCAGAATAGCATTATATGCAGATTTCCTTGCAAAATGTGTTCTCATTAAAGAAATGTTTGCATCATTAAGTATACATTAACTCAGCATAAGGAGAAAAAAAGAACAAATTGGGAACATAAGAACAGCAACCCATAATTAAAACTTTGATAAAAATCATCCATGAAGTAAGAATAATCTATAATTCCAACAGTTAAGCTTTACAGCCATTCCTGTTCCATTATTTTCTTGCTTTACCTGAGAGGAATCTGCTTGGGCTAATTTTGTAGTGACCTTCAGTATTTGGCGAAGATTTCTTCCTTTATCTTCAACAAGGAGGTGAGCCAGCAGAAGAAAAACATGCACAGGGATCACTGTAGTGACAGGGAGCAATGACTCTACTGAAGCCAACCAGTCACTCACTGAAGACTCTTCTCTCATTACTTCAAGGATCCTCCAGGCTGTAAATATTGACCCATACATGCTGGTTATGGGGAAGACAAGCTTGTAGGGCAGCTGAAAAATAAACACAAAAAATACATGAGTAAATGAGATATATTTGATAGAAATATATTTGACATTCATATTTTATATTTCATTACAAAATCAATCCTCCCAACAAAATACAAAATGTTCAATTCCTGCCCCAAACCTCTCTGCACATATTTGAGCTAATAGGATTACATTGAGAAAAGAGCTGTTATATGGAACTCTAAAACAGTTTATCACTATTTTTCCTTGTATTTACCATTTGCTCCCAGTTAAAGCAGAAAAAAAAAAAGTGGATCAATAAATAAGATCCAGAGGCAAAAGAGTTTGGAAAAAGCCACTGTCACTAAGAAAATATTCACCAATGAGAGGGAAAATAGAAAGAAAGAAAAAAAAACACTATTTGCCCAACTCCAATCCCTCGTAAAAAGCAGCCCTGGGCAGATGGCAGACTTGGACTGAGGACAATTCATTTTTGTAATCGACAGTACGTTGACAGGAACAGAGTTGGTTCAGCTGGAGCCTGGGAATTCATTAATAATTGTGAATAACTTCTGCAATAAGAAATAGCCTGACAGCTCTAAACTGAAACGATACTCAAAGAAGATGCTATGCTTATGTCAATCTGAGAAATGGCTCCTTACAGTAATAAAGTAGTGCAGTCAGGGACAGAGAATGGATAGAACTCTGCCAAGGTGAGCTGAGTGCCCAGATGGCTCAGGAGAAGCCACAGACATTAAAGAAACATTAGTATTGCCTATGAATAAAATGATTAGAGTATAATGATACAATTTAGAAATCTCTAAATTATCCAATAACTGTCCTATTATTGGAGGTTAACTTATATGAATAAGGATAACAATTGAAAGTATGGGAAGTAAAAGTTAAGCTTTATAAAAAACTTTAATAGCTTTATTGAGATATATTTCACATGCCATAAAATCCATCCTTTTAAAGTTTACAACTCAGTGGATTTTAGTAATTGATAGTTTTATAACCGTCATTACTATCTAATTTTAGAACATTTTTATTACCCCAAAAGGAAATCCCATATCCATTAACCATCACTCTTCATTCTCTTGATCCCCACTCCAACCTGCAGTAACCACTAACCCACTCTGTTTCTATTTTGGCTATTTCATATACTAGGAACCACACAACATGGGGTCTTTTTTGACTAGCTTCTTTAATTTAGCATGTTTTCAAGGCTCATCCATATTGTAGCTGGTATCAATATTTCGTGTCACTGTCAAATAATATTCCATTGTATGGATATACAATATTTTGTTTATCCATTCATCAATTAATGGACCAATGTCCATTAATTTCCACTTTTATGAATAATGCTATGAACATTCCTGTAAGTTTTTGTGAGGACATAGGTCTTCAGTATCTTAAGTATATGCTTAAGAGTGGAGATAATATTTATTTGAAAGCAAACGTCACTTTAAAAACAAACAAGGAAGCTCTATCTTTATTGATATGAAAAGGTCTCCCACATGAAAATACAAGTTACAAATAGTATGCCTGGAATACTACCAATTTTTTTTTTTAAGGGTTGGAGTGTGGAGAGATTGTATATTTGTATTTGCTTGTATATGCAAAGAAAAGTATCTAGACAAATAAAGAAATATACACTAATTTTCATTTTCAATTTGAGAGAGTAGAAACTGGACAATCAAATTTTATAAATTTTATAAAATTAAATATCTAAATTTATAGCGCTCCCTCTAAAAGATTTTTTCCCAAGGTGAAATTCATTAAAGACAAGTCAATTTCTTTAGACTAATAACAAACAGCGTTTGATTTGAGATTTAAAAGATGAGGATTTCAGCTGTTAGGCAATTTCTCAGAGCCTTATTTTTCTTATTTGTAAAATGGGAGTTATGACTACCTTCCTGCCCAGATTATTGAGGTAGATAATGAGACAATGTCAATAAAGAACCTAGCACAGTACCTAAAATTGCAAAATACAGAGAAATATTATCACTGTCATCTTTAGGAGAGGAAAAATAAAACTGGTGGATATGGGCATAAAAGAAAATAATTGGAAATCACCATGAACCATAATTAAGTTGAAAGCAGCAACATTACAGAGATATGTTAGAGTAAACACACTGTAAGAGAAAAACAATCCTACTTGAAGTATTATGTCCAGGTTTAGGCTCTGTTTTTTGTCTGTCTAAGGTTAGAGTAGCAGAAGAAAGGCACAGTGTTGAATAAGACATCACAGAACAGTCTCTCTATCACAGTGCATGGCAGGCATGGCCCACTGGAACGGTCTCCGGGGCAAAGATGCGACCAAGGATTTTCAGCACCAGCCACCAAATCCTGGCCCCACAGCCTGTGGGAGGACCTGTGAAAGCACTGATAGGCTCTGTGGTTCAGAGAAGAAAGTAGGTGTTTAAAAATAAAACTTAATGATGTTAGGCAAGTTACATCTCAATTAAAAGAAACCATAGAAAAAATAACATTTCAGTGAATGGTTATAAAACATCTTTTATAGACATAAAAGAATTGATTATCTTTATTTTTAAAAAGCTTTTAATAAAAATGTTCAGTTATGTTAAGTATTAATAAAGCAGACATCTGCTAGTAATACTTCTTTGTCTAAAGAGGTCTAAAAAAGAAATTGTGAATACAGGTGAACAATATATATTTTCATTAACTTTAAAGAATAACTGTTCATCTATCATAATAATTAAACGAAGCTTAACAAAATTGAGTCAAGATTTGATCAGGAGAAGGGGTATGGAAACTCACCCTGGAGACCATGAAAAGTAGAACAGGTTTTTGCTAGAAGGGATTTAATCACTCACCAGACCAGAAACAGAAGACTGGACTAGGTAAAGTCTCAAGGTCTTTCTGCTCTCTACCTCTATTAAGAATCTAGTCAAGGGCTGAGAGGCTTTCAAATGGTCGATTATCACCAAAAGAACATATACCATCCTCAGTATCCATGTTATTCAGAAGATAATGATAGAAGCACAAGCTCTAAGTCTTGGTAATTCTTTTTAAATTCCAACCAAAAGCTTTTAAGAAACCAGTTTACCTCAACTTTCCACTGATTTACTGTTTCCCTGGAAGTCTGAAATGTTTGCTATTTACTAGTTATTAATTCTTTTTATTAAGCACTTCTTTGTTCAAATTACCACTATGGCTTCTCTTTCCTGACTGAACCCTGACTCATACAATGGTTCTTTCCTTCCACCCCACCTCCACCCCCCACCACATTCTCTGGGGGCAGGGGTAGCAAGATTTTAAGCAGTTTAGAATTTACAAGTGTTTGATTTTTTTTTCACCTAAGAGAACACAAATTGGTGGTTTTAAATATCACATTTATTAGCCTAATAGAAAAGGATCCTGTTTTCCACACAACACTAAGAAATATTAAAAGCTTATTATATATTTTTTTTATTTTAAAGAGATGAATAACTGCTTTGCTATCTTACATTTTTTAATTCTTAAAATTTGAAATAAGTTAAAAATCTGTTTATTTCATGGTTATCAACACTTCAGAAAGAAGACAGGTAATACAGAATTGCATGGTGCAGGATATCTACCCTTGTTTTCGTTTGCCAGAAGCAGTGTGCTTCTGAAGAACTGCTGTAGTTGTAAATCAAATACTCTAAGTCAGAGTCACCAATCTAAAATGAAATAATAAAAATAAAAACTAAAAAATCTGTGGTTTTTATACAAAGATCTCTCTGTAATAAATCAAGATGATAAGTGAAATTATCAGATTCACACATTCCTTGCTGAACAGAAATTTACTGAATGTCTGCCACGTGGTAAACAATGGGTCAGGTGTTGAGGATGCAAAGATAACCTAGGATGTTATTTCTTTAAGTATGTGAAAAATAGGAAAGTGTTCAATTTAACAAGTGGCTAACATATCTTAATTATCTTAAATCTATGATCACCTGAAAAAGATAAAGCAGAAACACAGAGTTGAAAAAATACAAAAAGTTCAACAAGTGTTGCAATTTAAATATTAACATGCTTAGAAAATAAAAGCAAAGCATGAAAAAGGCCTGGGTTCTTTCCCTCAGTGAGCTCACAGAATAGTTGGAGGTACAAATACGTAACCCCTTAAATTAAGACACAACACTATTGAATAAAGTGCTAGGGATACAAAAAAAAAAAAAAAAGAGTAAATGAATTCTGACTCAGGAAGGCTGAGAACTTTTGGCTGGATCCTAAAGAATGACTAGATCAGGCAAAAGAGACAAAAAATCAAAGATTCAGGAAAAGACTTGCAGAGTTTGGGGAGTGTTGAATTTATAAGTATGTTTAGAATATAGAGTCCAGGACTGGTGCAAAAAAAAAAAAAAAAAAAGCCAACTGTAAACTGTGGCTTGATTTTTTAGAAGGGTAATCATATATCTACTCAAAGCCTCAAAGCAGCGCACCATTATTAGGAGGATGTTTATAGCCCTAATAGTATTCCTTCCTTCTCCCTCTTCCCCAGCTGAAGAGAAAGCCTAGCTATTAGTGTTGAATAATAAGACTCATACACCTGAGCAAATAGTAAGATGAATACTTAAATATTAGAGTCAGGGTGATTCTCAGTAAATATCACTCATGATTTAAAGGAACACAACTCTTAGACACAGTACATCCTGCCCTCCCTCCATCCCCACCCAAAATCCAATCATTGGGCAAGTCCAGAGGAAAGGTAAAAGACTGCTAGGAAATTTTGGCGACATCTTGTATTCCTATTAGGCAGATGCAAGAACTTCCTCCTCTCAATGAAAATCAATGACCTATTTCAAGTTTTAAAGTTTCAGTCAAACAATTAGGATTTATGAATCTGTAGTATACATTCAATTTGCCTATAGGCTAGTTCTTGCTGCAGGCTCAAACAAGGAATCACAATGCCTGGATTTTTGCTGCTAGAACATTTAACGATACATGATTAGAGGTCTCCCTGCTTTTGCAGATGAAACAACTATGGCGCTACCTCACATTTATGTAACGCCTCTGTGGAAACTTAAGACGCTTCACCAGTTCTATCTTATTTAATCCTTATTTAATCCCCATAAAAGTAGGAGTTAGGAAGTAATAATTTTATCAAAATCAAAACAAATATCAAAAGAGTAAAGGACTAACAAATGCAGGCCCAGAACCCAGCCATTAACAGACATGGACTATACTTTTTACATTATTGTAACAGGAACAGTGAGACTGACAAAGCAGAATGGGATATGCTTAGCAGGCAGAGGGAAGAATGGGGTGTGACAGTCCTGCTGTCTTCCAATTGAAGGCAGCAGATTAGAGGCACCTAAGGAGACACCAACAGCCATTATGCCAGGGAATATGGCATAAGCTACCACATTCAAAAATAAAGTCTTAGTTCTTACAGACCTTAGAACTTCCAGGCATTCAAGGAGATTTCCCATCTTGGACTATCCCAGATCAATATGCTGCACTTACTAAACAGTATGATGAGAAAAAAAGGATCCATATTCAAATATGGTTAGAGAAGCACTATGTTAAACCGAATGTTTCTTTTCTGCAGGATTCCTCAGAACCTTTAGCTACTGATGTACACTGGAAACTCAAAGAGGAAAAAAGATTACATAGCACTTCTAAAACTTATTTTTCAACAAGACTACCCTCCCCTCTCACCATTCAGAAGAATATACTAACATCTACACCACTGCCTGAGAGAATGGTAAAGTTCACAATGATCGAGTTAAAACCCAAACAGATACTTCATCAGGAGGTGAGGTTATCTTTATAGACAAAAATCCCACATTACCACTTTACCTTTAAGAGAAACAAGGATGAACGTCATTACCTTTTGGTGGTCGTCTCTGTAGCTCTCCTGCTGTACCATTTCTAACAGATTCAGAGCCAACTGCTGCCTAGAGGGACTGTCTTCATCTGGGGATATGCAGTCTTCCAAAGCAGTAGAAGATAATATCTGCAGAACTGGCATCACTAGCAGCGAGGATGATTTTGGAATTTTCTGACCATCGGCAAAAGAGAGGAGCTTCAAAGCTATTCATCAAAACAACAATTCATGATTTTAAAAATTAATGCCACACTTAACAAAATGTTATTTTGTTTAAGAATGATTCCAAGAAGTTTTCTTACCCCTTTACAATTGAGTCAGACGTGCAACTAAGATGATAAATCTTATCTTTTTTGAAATAAAAAGAACACAAAAATTAACTATTTTTTTCTAAAATAAGCTGTTAATGTATGTAACTAAAAACTTGATACTCTTAGAAAAAAACAAATATCAAATATCATAAAGTATAAACCAACTCTTCTTTTGGTCAATATAAATTTCTTTTAAAATATAGTTCAATTTTTGTCCTTATATTTTGTCACGTCGTTCTACTGCCTTCAACAAACAGTGCCAAGAGAGCATGGAGTTCTTAATCAGCAGATAAGTCCAAAGTATGCACTTCCCTTACAAACCCAGCTGAGAACTGTATTAAGTGATGAGTAAGTAAACAAGGTGAGGCAGGGCTATCCTTCAGCTGTAATTACTAATAAGTAGATCAGCAAAATCTCAAAGTTCACAACCAGCATAATAATCAAACCTATTTTTATAAATAATTCTTTATTATGGAAACTCAACTTACACAACAGAAATATACATACAAATGTATAATAACATAGTTACATGTATAGGCTTCCCTAGACTATTAACAGAACAAGTTAGGGAATAAACATACTTTTTTCATGGTTATTGAATGAACCCTAATTTATTGAAAACTGTTATTCATAGACTTCCGAGCTAGATTATCAAAATAATCAACTGATTTCCCCACCACACCAAAGGAAAAAAAATATATATATATATATATTGTGTGTGTGTGTGTGTATATGTACACACACACACACACACACACACACAAACATATACAAGCCTTAACTCATTTTAATGAGTTGCCAGTATTTTATTAAATCATCTAGAAGTCAAATCTGAACATATTATGAAGTAGTTGTTATTCTAACACTACTAATTTATACTTTTTTTGGCTAAATAGTAATCTTACTCCATAACTGTCTTTGAGAAGTCATGAAAATCCATTATCTTTAACAAAACAGGAAGGAAATGCATATAATACAAATGTTTATATATTCTTTATTATAAATCTTCCAGGTATTTTTATAAATTGTTATTTATAATCAAGACTATTGATAATAAAGAAACATTAAATTGTATTATTGCTGTACATTTCAAATTTGAAATAATCGATACAGGTTATGCTATTTCTTTGACCACTCTTT